TTCTTTATTTATTTGAAACGATAATTGATGAGCATTTATAATCTGGAAGCTGAGGACTGATCACTCTCTTGGGCGCACAAAACATTATTTTGGTTCATTTTTAGAAACAAGGGTTTACTGTCTTAAGGTATAAATTAGTAAATAATTTACCTCGATTTTTGCCTCGGCTTCTGAACAGAAAATTCTCCAACTGCTTCTGATCATAGCGATCGATGAATACGGTCAAATTGCTGCCCACATAATCCCTACAGCCAAAGTAGGATTGAAACCAGGTGGCCGTCGTATTGCTGAAATGATAGCATTTTCTTCCAACGTTTTCAAAGTTTTTTGGACACACATAGTGATATTGAAGGCTTTGGTTGGTTTGAACTGCCCCATCTGCAAAAGTTAATCAATGAATAAATTAGTCAGAAATTTAAAGTTAATTTAAAATGGAGCTTCATGTGATAAAATATAGAATTTAAACAAAAAAAATATATTTAAGCTAAGTACTTTYCTATGTATCCAAATAAGTCGATARTTCTCTTAAAAAAATTAAAATAGCCTGAGGATTGTTTCGCTAMATTTAACAGCTGCGTGTSAGCAAATGTAAAGAATGTGGTTTTAAATTAGAAATTATTGGGGCACGTGCTCTGTTCATTGGATAWTTTYYSTCYTGTGAGGCAGATTGAAAGTCCGCAATTTAAATTTTAAATGATTGCATATCAAAAAACATTTTTCTAGAAMAAAAAAATTGTAGTGACAAGTAAATTTACATCAATTTGTGGTTTTGGTAAGAAAACAAATAATATTAAAAACCCAAAAACGCAAACTACTAAATTGGGCGCTTCGAATTGATTTTCATTTGCTTTTCTCTTAATTTGCCTTTAATCTCTGGTTTTCACTTCGTCCAGTTGAAAACACAACTTTTCCAGCTGCGGACATCAAAATGAAAAATGAAATCTCAATTTTTGTCATCAATTAGATGGTCGTTACATTTTACTTCTCGCTTCATAAATTGTGTTCAATTCAAGGGTTTGTTGCTTCGACCATTCTGAACAATCTAAAAAATCTATGTTTACCAGCATAACACGAATGGAAGATTTGTGCTGATTAAAATTTAAAACAAATACACTCAAACCTGGCAGGCCGCCGTTAGTAGACCGATATCATAGAAGAAGAAAGAGTTAAAGAAAATAAAGAATAAATTATGTTACTACGTGGAAGTAGAAAAACAGAATTAGAAAGTAGAGCTATAGGGAGTAATAATAGTCAATAATACTTTGTGGAAAACAAATATAATAAAAGCACAAAACCGGAAAATTGCCATTGCAGATTTAGTCAACTAAATTATATGTTATGGGGACAATGTGCTTGTCTGGCCAATTCGTTAAAACGTCCACTTTCGTAGGCGGCCGTATTTCAAAAAATAACTAAACATAATTGCCAGACATTGCAAAATGCTGCACTAATACGGAAGCGAGAAAAAATTATTTAAATAGCAAACAGTTGCACATGAAATGGGAGTGCCCACATAGTTCCGAGCTTGTTACCTAAATTGCAACTCATTTGAAAACTTATAATCCATTCCAAAAACGTACTAAAGATCTTATCAAGGAACATATTTCAAGGATTCTTCGCTATAAAAAAATATCTCCAAGTAAATGTTTTTATACAAAACTCACAGATACAGTTTTGGGAAAGCGCCTTATTTGGTTGAAACACGATTACAATACTGAATTCTTGTAATTTAACTCTAGCTTACATTGAATTGCATTCAACGTGTCCGATTTAATTTAGTCATGCATTTAACTAATGCAAGTAAAGTTTGTCAAAAAACCCAATTTAAGCAAATGGCTAAATGGTGTACCTTGTAATTTTTTAATTTAAATTCCTCAGAAAATCGATGACTAGTGCTCAAAAGTCGTAATTAAATTAACACTTGAGAGCTGAGTTATTATTGCGTACATCTACAGGTTGCAAGTATAAGCACATAACGCTGATTTATTATTTAGGTAATTATCGTGATGATAGATGAATGTCTGCATGCAAATAATGCGATTTATTGTCACTGTTAATTTGATTTTTCAACACTGGTATATACAGATAATTAGCCATTGAATTTCTCTGTATGTTTTAAATATATGAACACATATTAGTGCAAAGCGCGAAAGCGTAAAACCAATCAAGCAAATAGCTGCCATTCAGTTTCAGGAATTGAATGGCCATTTATTGCTTCTGATGTTGATGATGATCTAATTTTATTGCAAAGGTGTAACTCGAATTTACATTGAATTACATCCGACGCAGTCAATCTTATTCAGACAGGATGACAGATTAATTTTCTATTCAAATATTCCACTTTGGGGAGACAACAATAGTACCAAATAACAAATAGCAGTTTGAACACCTTGAATATATCTTAATTTCACTTTGTCAGCAATTGCTGCATTAATTTTGGCAACATCGAAACATTAAGGCATATTTACGCGTTTTATTTAAACATCGAAGAAATAAAAATTAATCCCAGTTACTTTTTATTGCGAAATTTTAAAGTCAAATGGTCAAAACATGTTTTCATCAAAATGATTACGAAAATTAAATAGCAGGTACACTTAATGTGTAAGTAGCAGTTTAGTCGTTCACTAAGTTAAACAAGTTATTGATTAACCAGAACGGAAAAGCTAAGAAATTGTTTTGGACCACATTTTGTCGGGTAATGTTCGAAAGGTATGGACAACTCTAATTAATACATCGATTTCAATCATTTGAAATGTTTTTTAACACACTGTGCAAAATCAATAGTTAACTAAAGTTAATGTGATACAGTTCCAAAAAATTGGTTTCATATTCAATATTTATTTTATGATGCCACATGACCGATCCCCTATATTTTCCATGCGTCAGAAAAAAAAGTTATTTATTTAGCAATAAGTCGTCGTGTTGACACTATTTAACATATTCAGAATGGCTTCCAACGGTAAAGTCAATAACTTTCTACATAGATTAACTAATTAACGTAAGTAACAAAACTTTCATGTATAAGTAAAAAAAGGCTTCGTTAAAAGACAGACAAAACCCTACAGAATAGGAAAAAAATCCTTCGAATAACGTAAGTTATTATACCTGGTGTCTATTTGAAAACTTCCGACCCTTAATATCTTTCTTGCAGTTAGAACTATGTAGAATCGGAAACAGGTCATTTTTTTTGTAAGAGGGACACTTTAAATTAATATTTTTAGCCTCCTTGTTTCAACCCCTTAGGAGGGGTAGATGCCACCCTGAGAATATTAAATGGGAAGGGGGTCAAATGGCACATTGTTTTAAAGGGCGTTCAATTCTCTTTACATTAGTTACTACTTTGTTGCTTTTTGTTCAGCAGTTGTCGAAAACTCGCGTTTCAAAGTTGTAGAAACAATTAAACTTTCCTGCATTGAGATTTTGTTTTTCAGATTAGTGTTTAAACAAAAATTATGTCATTGGGCCTGCTTATGGTACAAATGATTAGAAGAGTAGGTTACACTGTTAAAATCGTTGAATAACAGGAAGAAAATCTAATTTAAACAATTGATTTCGGATTTATTGATTATTTCACTTCGAGAAAAATCACTTTATTTACGGAAGAGACATTTTTACAATAAAACCCATAGAATCTACTGATGCATTATCTTGTAAGTTGTTCAAAATGTTGTCTATTTTCTTGTAAACAATAATAAAGTATATTTTCGAACCCTCCCTAACATTGATAAGATATTCCCGGTAGATCGATTGGCAGAAGGGGACCAATTGACTGGCCTCCAGGATCACCGAATTGAACACCCTTAGACTTCTTTCTTCGGGAACATCTTCAGGATCACAGTCCGTTGTGTGTAAAACACAACTTGCTGATATTTATGATCTTTAAAGGCGAATTTCAGTAGAATGCCGGTAAATTCCCGGTAAAGTGATCCGAAAACTTGGGGAGGAGTTTGGAAACAGACTTTATTATTGTTTACAGTAAACAACATTTGCACAATTTAATCAGACAGTGCGTGACATGCAGATGACATAGGTTTTATTGTAGAAATTTATCTTCGGCAAATAAAAAGTTATTTTTGTCGATGTAAAATAATCAATAAATAAGAAATAATGGATATATAAATAATAAGGTCAAAATCAAAAATAAGAAATCAATGTTTAAACTAAATTTTCTTCCGGTAATTCCACCATTTTACCGGTGTATTTGTATTACAAGGAGACCCAATACAATTGTTTTTTTGTAAAAACTAACATGAAAACCAATATCTGAATGCACGCAAGTTTAATTGCTTCTACAACTTTGAACCGCGATTATTCGGAAACTTCTGGACAAAAAGCAACAAAGTAATAATTAATGTAAAGATAATTGAAGGCCCTTTAAAAAGGTGTGCCACTTGACCCCCCTTCCTATTTAAAATTATAAGGGTGACATCTACCCGACTTAGGAGGTTGAAACAATGAGGCTAAAAATATTCAACTAAAGTGTCCCCCTTATAAATAAAATTGAAGAATCTTTCCGATTTTTAATATTTTCAACTGCACGAAAGATATTAAGGGTGGGAAGTTTTCAAATTGACACCCGGTATGTTTAAATAAGACGGTTGGTCGATACCTACGGATAGTAAATGTTCTTATATAGTTAAAGATATAAGATGGTCTTTTCAATTATTACACTCCGACAGAGCAGTACTGAGTGCTTACAACTTTTAGTGAGAAAATGTTGAAGTTACCCGTTGCACCTCAAAATATGATATACAGTGCGTCACACCAATTTTTTTGAACTCGAATTTACCAAAGTTTCTCCAGAACGTATGTACCTAAATTTTAGAAGGAACAGTGTCTGTGTTTCCCAGCTATATCACGACCTTCCGGAAAGAGTTACACATTTTTTTCTGAGCTGGCTTTTACAACTTTCCCGATATTCTTTATTTCCCCAATATAACACAGGGCACATACATATCAGAAGTCCATCCAGGATTTTACTACCTGGCCTGTGCCAGTGATAAAATTTGCCAATTTTGACTCAAAACGATTGTCAAAATTACCTTATTGTTCTAATGAAGTAAATTTTAATTGCAAATATGCAGGGGCGGAAACTTTTAGGAACAGGGGACGAAATCCACGGCAGCAAAACTGTGAACCGGGAAATTGGGTACCATATTTCACGCCTGGAAAAATATGACAAATCACTTGAATATTTCGACAAAGCGGTTAAGGAAAATCCAGACGATCGACGCACATTAATCGGCAGATCAACAGCTAGAGCGAAAGCTGCCCAGTATGGAGGAGCGATGGAGGACATTGGTCATGTCTTGAGCATAGACCCGGATGATTTAACGGCATGGAGCGTTTCAACTAGAAACATGTATTTATGCGCTGAATTCGAAGAAGGCAAATTAAAATTCAACTATTCTACACATCGATTTTGAAAAATTGTTCAATAGGTCTGGTTGAGAACCTGAAACATGCCTCATCCAGGCAAAAGCCCGAAGTTTTTAAAATGGGGGTGATGGACTGTTATGAAGCAATTGAAAACTGCATTGGTGAACGACCAGGACGACCCTTAAGGGATCATTTCAAAATTATCAGAAGACTTGCTTGGAAGCAAAACTATGCGGCACACAAGCCCTTTGAGCCGACTCCGCAAACCAAGCCGAAGAAAAATAAACAAAGCCCTTTATTTAAAAATCTATATCCCCGTGAAGAGTCCCGAGAGCTGGTGATACCACATAATACCAAAATGCGAACGCGTCTGCAAGCCTAATTTAGCAGTTAACAACCGTGCATCAATAATATTTTCCAGACCCTGCAGGCCTGAGCATAAAGGAATCTTTGCACTCAGTGGGGAGCAGTCATGACCCCATCCCTCCATACCCTTACCCATATCTGATGAAACCCGTGCAAAATTACACATCAAATATTGATAACTTTATGGCCGAGAAATATCTGGATAAAATGTATTTGGATAAAGTATTTTTGAAGCACATTCCTAATGAGCCAGGCGTCTATGGACCCAATAAGCAAGGTATCATTGTTATAAAGTAGGTTTTCCTCAGAAAAGTTGAAACTTGAAACTATTTTTTTTTTATTAACTCACTTATACACACTAATTACCAGCGCTTATACAGAAACCAAATAGCGCCAATAATCTATTTGACAAAGTAACATTTTAAGGCGATGATAGCAAAGATGAGGTATTCGAATAATTAAAAAGTTGACGTTAAAAAAATAGATTAAACCCAATATCACAAGACGTTTTTGCATGAGTAATTTCAATTATAGGTGCTAAAGCATTGAAACAAATCGCGAAAAAATGCTATCAAACCGTGTGCAACAAACAAGAACTTCTGCGGGCACGAAAGCCATTCTACTCAATCAGATACCAGGAGGCTCGAGTATCTGGAGCTCTAAAAGAACGACAGAAAACCGAGCTCCAACATCAACAACGTGTAGCCCAAAAGGAAGCCGATATAATTCTCCAAGAAATAAAGGACGCTTTCACTAATCGTCAGCTTAAAGACCTTCTGGTCTACACTGAAAAACTTCGCCGCTATGTGAATGCAAAGTCAAAACGTATTATTCCAAATAAAGGCGAATACTTAAAGGTCATCTACAGCACTATGTGCCAAGCCTTCTATGACATATACAGATCGAATCCAAGGAAAAGCATGTATGAACAAAATATCAGAATTTATGCGTCTCTTGGATTACCTCTTAGTAGAGATCCCTCTACAGATTCGGTACTTGTTCAGTTTAAAAATGTATTTGTTGATTATAAGAAGCGAATTCGTGAATATGAAGAAAGGCTACGCCAAGCTGTATTACCGGAGGAGATTTGCTGGTTTTACCACGAATTATCCAGGTGAGTGAGTTTAATTGAACAATGGAGCATTGAGTGTGTGATTTATTCATAAGCGTTGGTTAGAAAATAAAAATATAATGCTTTAAACAAGAACAATTTAAAAAACYGTAATTAATAAAGTTGCTTCCGTTATTATTCAAAAAGAGTAAAATGYCCTTTAAARCAACAATTTTTAATTYAATTATGCAATTAAAATATAAATACTTTGATAATRTATCAATTATAAGAAATTTTATTAAAATGAACTTGTTTAAGTGCTATAAATTGCAAATTCCTACGAAAAAATTATTGGATCTTGAAAAGCTAAATKATTTGSRCAAAACTTACACTTTTTAGCACCGAATCGATACTTTTATTGCACAGARTACACAATTCTTTAATTACTATCACCTCCGGTTTATTTAACATTTCACAATCAGTATGGTAACTAAATTGTTCAATACATCATATGGAAAGTTAAGCGAAATAGCTTTAATCAGCTAAAAAACGTTCTTATCTTCTTTTCTATCATTCTTAGGAGCGCATTTAGTAGGGTACTGTTTGGATGGAGCTTAACATTTGCAAGCAGGCTTGTATTTCTTCTCGGATATTAGAGGTGCCTGGTTGCATCCCCGAAACTTAATAAGTAGGCTATAAGCTAGCTATAAAGGATAGCCAGTTTGGAACTGGATTAAAAACTCCTTTTATCGCCTAAAAATGGTCAGCATTTTAACCCTCTGTTCGAGTCTCTCTCCATGCTATTTTTCATATGAATATGTCGGTCAAATGATAAAAAAATTCAATATCAAAAAGAGCCTTGAGAAAATCCCG